AAATGCATCTCGTGTGCAGCCTCCCCACACTCACCCCGGGGGCAATGCCGGACCTTTCTCCACCTCCCCTCCTCCTCCCCTCCAGTCCCCCTCTACTAAAGACTCCTAGATGGGAGACACTGAAGGCAGTGACACCCCTGTTCCTGGGCACATAACGTGTTCATTGTCGAAGGATGTCTCCCGTAGAAAAGCTAACCGCCCCTGCCTCACCCTCCAAGTCTGCCTTCACAATCTAAGATCCCATATGCTCTTCTTTGAAGAGGGCCAATCTCTGATCACATCTAGTTCATCCCTCCCCCGCCACACACACACACACACACACACACACACACACACACACACTTCCTGATTGCTGAGCAGCCACTGTCATCGCGATCCATTGTCAGGAATGGCTTGTCCCAATCACAGGAATGTGCTTTTGCCTTCGGAGAAGGGTGCTGGCCACACCATGTTCTCGGGATGTGCCTCCCTGAGCCTGTCTTTGATTGTCCCCCTGCTCAAGCAGCGTTATTGCAGTGTTTCCCTTCTGTGCGTCTCCAGTGGACCCTCAGTAATAGCCTGAGTGATGCTTTTGCCCGGTTATTTAGACACCTATGGTGTAGAGGAAATTTCTTCTTCTTTGGCTGTAATGTTTAACATCTATCCTCAAGGAGTAGTAAATAAATAAGGCAATTTTTTTGGAAGATGGTGGCCCCCCCCCCCCTGGGCAGGCCGGTATTTTTCTGGAAAATGGCCACAAGCACACACATGCCTTGTTGACAACATGTGTGTGCCTAGGGAGTGCAGAGCTGCTGTGGCTGGCATGTGTGAATGTGTGTGCAGAATGCAGGTGATGTTCTCATGTGAAGCTGCGTGGAGAGTGGCGAGCTGCACGGTGATCCCGGGAGCCGGCAGGCAAAGCTTGGTTGTTGGCATCAGGACTGTGCACATGTGTTTAGCTAGAGCCAGCGGTTCTCAACCTGTGGGTCGCGACCCCTTTGGCGGTCCAACGACCCTTTCATAGGGGTCGCCTAAGACCATCCTGCATATCAGATATTTACATTACGATTCATAACAGTAGCAACATTACAGTTATGAAGTAGCAACGAAAATAATGTTATGGTTGGGTCACAACATGAGGAACTGTATTTAAAGGGCCAGAAGGTTGAGAACCACTGGTAGACGCTGCCGTTGGTATAATTTTGTTTAAAATGCTCACTGCTGAGTTTCAGTGTATCTGGAAATGCCTACTTCAGGGGTTCTTAACCTTTCTTTGAGGTCACTGAAGCCTTTTTGGGTGCTCTTGGTGAAATAGACATGGTTTTGCTTCTAATTACAGTCATCTTGAAGCTGGTCTTGGGACCTCAGGATAAGATCTATATTATGAAAAAGTGAAAGGAACTAGAGTTTTGCGTGGGAGGGGGGGATTTGTTTTTGTTTTTCTTAAGGATTGACATTACTTTGCTCCTGAGCAATAAGCAACAAAGCAGGTTGTACATGTATTCTTCCTTGTGTTTTGTTATTTTTATTACCGTGAGTTAGATATTTGTAAGGTATCATTTCTCTGTCTTCCTATAAAAAGCATGTACGTGCGAGTTTCACAAAGTTAAAACTGGAGCCAAAATAATTTGTCTACATTTGACCAGTTGGTAATGTATGTTCCTTGCACTGTATTCTAAGTTCAGCCGCAAAGTCAGTGGTCTGTTTTATGATGCCTGTCCAGAACCTTTATTTGTTGGTTGAGGTTGATCTGATCTCTTACAAGACTTCATCATTCCCCTAGTAGAGCACCTGCTCCATGAGGAAGATTTTTTTCAACTTTATTAAATATTATTGCATATCTTTATTCCGGGTGACAAGTTGCCATCAAAAGCATCCATTTTTAAATTTTGTTATAATGGAAGGATTTTAATTGTGGTTAGGGAGTTTAATCTCCATGTTTTAAAATCTAGAACTAGGGATGAACATTGCACCAGTCTGTCAATAAGCAGGGGGCAGCCGTCAGCTAGTCTTCTTTAAATCACTCTGCATTTTGATCATATTTCATTCCAGCTTCGTGAAAGTGTCGTGATGGGCAGTGACATTAAAGAAGCACAGTCTCCAGCTCTCCAGGAGCTTCCAATTCTGACAATATTTTTCACTTAAAGAATCCTTTGAGAGCTTAAATTTTTTTGCATTTTGGGGGTTTGAGAGGCTAGGGCAGTAGTTGGCAAACTCATTAATCAACAGAGCCAAATATCAACAGTACAACGATTGAAATTTCTTTTGAGAGCCAGATTTTTTTAACTTAAACTATATAGGTAGGTACATTGTTATTAACTTAATTAGGGTACTCCTAAGGCTTAGGAAGAGCCACACTCAAGGGGCCAAAGAGCCGCATGTGGCTCACGAGCCGCAGTTTGCCGACCACGGGGCAAGGGAATTCATTGCATCAACAGCTTTGGGGAAGGCAAGGGAGCCTTGGAATCTTGCATAGAACCTGTTCCACATAGCTGAAGAGTAGCATTTATTCTAATAAATTGTGTAGTGTACCCTAAGAAGTTTGGAAGAATGCTGAGATTGCAAATATCACATTTTTTATTGTCTAATAAACATGCTTGAAGTGGTTTATATTACAGGTTACGTTTTTTGTTCGTGTCATGCCTGAAATTTTACTGTCGGAAATTATCTGCCTGTCCTGAACCCAAACCATTTCAAAGTTGCAAATATTAGTATGTCACTTTGCTTTGTCAGCATAGTATAGTGACAGATCATTAACATCTTGGGACAGGGTGCTTCCTTGGTTTTTAATATTGCAGAACCTCTTCTGACCAGTCACTTACCTAGTTAAACACCCACATGCCTCAGAGCAGCTGATCATATAGCACATATGGCCGTGAGAACAGCACGCTCTCTGCCAGATTCAGGGCTTGGGAGCTGGAAAACAATTGCATGGCCGTGAAACACCAGGAGTCGTGGTGCCAGCAGCTCCCTCATTAATGCGAACAGCTCGCTGTAGTTCCTTCAACACTCTTCTTCGACACCCTTCCCGTAGGAGGTTTCAGATCAGCAGCTCCTACTCAAGGGAGACAGCACCTACTTTCTGCAACTGTGGCCTCAAGATCTGATTCGTGACACCCAGAGCTGTTTCCATTTCTGCTCTCGGTATGGGAAGCCACCTTGTAGTGTGGTAAGAAAATACTTCTCAAGTCTGTAGAGAAAAAGTTGATTAGTAATGCTCCTGATGTGATTTTGTCCTTGCTTGTCTGAAGCCTATTGAAGTGAATTGTAAAAGCAAACTGTTTTTAAAAAGCCCTTTTCTAAAGGGTTTTAGATAATTTGACCAAAAATACTCTCGAGTTTCATTTCCCTTGTTCTAAAAAGTCAGTTGAGAGACAGCCAACAGCACAGTTTACAAGGCCTGTGGATTCTCTTGCATTTTGAACCGTAGCCTTTGGAACTAGTTATCCTCAAGGAGGTGACTGCATTTCCTTGCTGGGAACTCTTGGGTCTTGTGCTTCGGTTTGAGGTGTGATGTTTTTCTCAGCTGTGTGTCCTCGTGTCCAGCAGTGAGCACGTGAATTACTGTGGTAGATAGAGGTGCGCTGGTTCTGCAGTTAGTGGCTCCAGCAGCTAGACTCTAGCTGGAGGGGGAGCAGGGAGGTGCTTCTTTGGAGCCAGGCAGAACCGGGTTTGAGTCCCAGCTCCACCACTTACTGGCTCATGGCCTTGGGCAAGTCACCCTGACCTCGCTGGTCTCACTTTCCTCATCAGCAGATTGGAATTTGCTGTGAGGATTGGAGATAATACATGAAACCTCTAGCACAGTTC